TGTGTGTGTGTGTGCGTGTGCGTTTGCGTGTGCGTGTGTGCGTGGTGCGTGTGCCTGTGCCTGTGCGTGTGCGTGCGCGCGGTGCGTGTGCATGTGCGTGTGCGTGTGCGTGGTGCATGGTGCGTGGTGGGTGGTGCGTGTTCCGCGGTGCTTGGTGCATGATGCGTGTTCAGTGGTGTATGCGTGTGCGGGTGCATGTGCGTGTGCGTGGTGCGTGGTGCGTGTGCGTGTGCGTTTGCGTGTGCCTGGTGCGTGTGCGTGGTGCGTGTGTGTGTGTGTGTGCGTTTGTGTGTAAGCGTGTGTGTTTGCGTTTGCGTGTGCGTGGTGCGTGTGCATGTGCGTGTGCGTGGGCGTGTGTGTTTGCGTGTGCATGTACGTGCGCGTGCGCGTGCGCGTGTGCGTGTGCGTACACGTGCGCGTGGCGCGTGCGCGTGTGTGTGTGTGTGTGTGTGTGTGTGTGTGTGTGTGTGTGTGTGTGTGTGCGCGTGCGTGCGCGTGTGGCGTGTGCGTGTGCGTGTGCGTGTGAGTGTCAGTGTGCGTGTGCCGTGTGCGTGTGCGGCGTGCGTGTGCCGCGTCCGCGTGCGCGTGGCGTGTGCGTGTGCGTGTGCGTGTGCGTGTGCGTGCGCGTGGTGCTTGTGCGTTGTGCGCGTGCGCGTGTGCGTGTGCGTGTGCGTGTGCGGCGTGCTGTGTGTTGTGTGCTGTGTGCTGTGTGCTGTGTGCTGTGTGCTGTGTTCTGTGGGCTGTGTGCTGTGTGCTGTGTGCTGTGTGCTGTGTGCCGTGTGTGTGTGTGTGAGCGTGCGCGTGCGCCTGCACGTGCGCGTGCGCGTGCGCGTGCGCGTGCGCGTGCGCGAGCGCGGGCGCGGGCGCGGGCGCGGGCGTGGGCGCGTGCGCGTGCGCGTGTGCGTGTGCGCGTGCGCGCGCGGGCGTGCGTGCGTGCGTGCGTGCGTGCGTGCGTGCGTGCGTACGCGCGGGCGTGCGGCGCGCGCGTGCGGTGCGTGTGCGTGTGCGTGTGCGTGTGCGTGTGCGGGTGCGTGTGGTTTGTGACGTGTGCGTGTGCGTTGTGCGTGTGGCGTGGGTGTGCGCGTGCGCCGTGCGCCGTGCGCGTGCGAGTTGCGCGTGCGCGTTTGCGTGGCGTACGTGCGTAGCGTGTGCGCTGTGGCGCGTGCGCGTGCGGCGTGACTTGCGCGTGCGGAGGGGGGTGTTGTGGGTGTGTGGTTGTGTGTGTTTGTGTGTGTGTGTGGGTGTGTGGGTGTGTGGGTGTGTGGGTGTGTGTGGTGGTTGAGGGATGTGGGTGTTGTGGGGGTGTGGGTGTATGGGTGTGTGGGTGTGTGTTTTGTGTGATTGGTGTGTGTGCGTGTATGTGTGTGTGCGCGAGCAGTGTGCGTGTGCGCGTTGCGTGCGAGGTAACGTGAGTGCGTGCGTTGTGCGTGATAGTGGTGTAACGTGCGTGCTGTGCGTGGTGCTTGCGTGCATGTTCGTGCGTGTGTGTTGTGTGTGTGTGTTTGTGTGTGTGTGTGTGTGTGTGCGTCTTTGTGTGGGTGTAGTTGCGTGTGTGCGTGCGTGCGAGCGGCGTGCGTGTGTGTGTGTGGCGACAAAATAGTTTGCGCGTGTGCGCGTGTGTACGTACGTGCGTGCGTGCGTTCGTGCGTGCGTGCGTGCGTGCGTGCGCGCGCGTGTGTGCGTGTGTGCGTGTGTGTGTGTGTGTGCCCCGGTGTGTGTGTGTGTGAGTTCGATCTGCGTTTGCACCGAACCGCCCAAAACAGATGCCCCCCAGCCGCAAGCAGCTCCCTATAGCTGCCGATCGGTGGGGCATGCGGGGGGGGCATCTGTTTGCGACAGTTCGTTGCAACAGCGGATCGAATTCATGCCCCCACTCAGGGTCACCCCGCGTTAGAGATTCATCCAACCCACAAGTGCTCGTTTTTTTTCCGAAGTGGTTCGTGACGGTGTGTTCGGCCTGTGGTCGCTATGCGACGGTTGACCCCAGGGCCTCGAAGCCACGTTGCAACGGTCAGTCTCCCAGGGGACGGAAAATCTTCGTCGCTTAGAGAAGAGGGGCTCTTTCCACGAAGAGGGGGGCCCCTCTCCACCGATGTTGCTGGCCATGGCGGAGCGGGACCAGTCGAGAGTGGTCGAGTCGTTTGAGGCCGCCTCGTCGAGTGGCAGCAGGTCCCGCCCGCCGCAGGCCCCCTCCCCTCTCACCCCGTCCTCCCAGACGTGGAGAGCCCGGGCGGCGACGCTGCCCAAGCCAGTCGGGACCCGCCACCGCGCGGGCGAAGTTCTGGACGGCCCACCCGGGAGGGAGGGGGGGAGGCTGAGGATCTGGAAGGGGTCTGTTGATCCCCTGTGTTTTTCGGCCCCATGAGGGGCCGAGGACAGTGGTCCGCTCTCGGCTACTCCCCCCCTCCCCCCCCTCCCCCTCCTGCCTATGGTTGTGGTGGTGGAAAACAGGCCCATCATAGCCTTCGTCCTCTGGGGGGCCATGCTGTCGCCATGCCCCAGGGCCGTGTGAAAGACTACTCGGGGCGAGAAAAGCCGGTCCGAGGGGAGGGGTCGAGGCATCCGGGGACCCACGGGAGACCTCAAGACGTCGGGGGGCCGGGAGGGAGAGGGGGGGGGATCGGGGGAGGGGAGTGACACAGCGGAAACCCATTCCAAGAAACACCCTGCTTGCCTCCAGGGTGCCCGGGGCTTCTCGGGTTTCGATGGTTTTGCTATGGAGAGCGCGACGCTCCCACACCAAAGCTCAATGGACGTCCTGGGGTCTCAGGGTTGGGTTTCTTGTGGAAGGTTTCTTGTGGACGGGCACCTACTGTACGAAATCTGCTGGGCACACTCATCGGTGCATGGTCGTTCCCGACACTCTGGGCGCCGGGGGAAGCACATGCGTGCGGCCGGAACTCTCGTCGGAGGGTGAAAATCAAAAAATTCCAGCAAACGCAAGGAAAATCACAATGTTTCTGGAAATCTCACGTCAGGCATCAAACAACAAAACAGCACTTCAAAACACACGGTTTCGGCACTCATGATGCTCCCCCTCCTTGCCCCACATTTTTGTTCGTCCACCCGAGAGGCAGGTGGCCAAGAAAACGGTCAAGAAGACACCGGCTCGGTGTCAGCGAACTGCTAAGCGGCCGTGCTCGCCATATGTTTGATGGCCAGGTTCCCCTCCCAGCCCCCTTCCCTTCCCTGCCCTGCACAGGGGCGGGCCACCATGTGTCGAGCAAGGCGGGCACAGTCAACCCGCAGAGTATGGATGGGCAACCTTCCCAAGGGTACCTTTGCTTATCCTTGCCTCCTCGATCCATCCTCGGCCACTCTCGTTGGCCGCGCCCCGCTCGAAAAGCTTCGGAATGGGCGTCCAAGGCCCTTGCCTCCTTTTCGCGCATCCTTTTGATGCGGGCCGACTACAGGGTGGCGGCCATTAGGAAGGCCCCCTGCACCTTCAGCATGTACGGGTGGCATGAGCTCCACGGGGGCCAGCCCTTGCCGACAAGCCCATTTCTTTTCCAAGAGGGCCGCCGCCGAACACCGGCACTTCTTACCTAAGAGGGGAACAAAAACACAGACTCAATGAATCGACGACCCGCCGGAAGATATGGGAAAATATGGGAAGTGGGGGGAAGACGAGAATCCAGAACAAATATTTGAAAGTATGGGGGAATATTGGATTTGTGTGTACTTATTTGTGTGGCCCTGAGCCCCCTCACTTACGCACTCCAAGAAGGAAGAGGCGGAGATGGTGGCGCGCTCCTTGCTCACGGAGCCGCCCTCGTCTTGCCTGGAGAAGGCCCAGAAGGGCACCCTCATTGGAGCATTCGAGCCGCAGTGCCAGGACTGATTCGGTGGCAAATCAGGGGACCCTGGTATGCCCTTTTAAAACCGTCTTTAGCATCGACTCGCGTCGATTAGCGTCTGGAGTCGACTAGATAGCGCCGACTTAGCGTCGATTAGCGTCGATAGACCGTCGATGTTGCGTCGATTGAGCGTCGATTAGCGTCGATTCGCAAGAGCCGACAAGATGGTATGGGAGGCCCCCATGAGTAACCACAGAAGATTGACCGACAGCAAAGCCACCGTCGCAAATTACTTACCAGCCACGGCTTGCCGATGGTCTGGCAAGCTCGCGCGATGTGCAACCGTCCTCGATGTGTCCGATAACTCGTGAGCTTGACTACCAATGCAGCTGCGCTCGGTAAAGTCGTCGTTTGAAGATTAGGGTGGTTCTGCTGTCGGCCGAGGAGGACGGGGCGTACGCTGCGTGGCAGTGCCACGGCTCGACCGGCTACTGCTGGTGCAGCAGCGCTTCGGGGCGCCAGGTGCCGGGGACCCTTCGGGGGCCGTCCGAAGGCGGCAGCTTCTCGAAGGAGGATTGCGTCGCTGTCAGACTGAAGGAGGAGGAGAAGAAGGAGGCAGCGGAGTCGGTGGCGTCGTCACTGTTGGCGGAGCCGCCTTCGTCTTGCTCGCAGCTGGCCCAGAAAGCCCAGGCCAGCCACCTCATCGGAGCCTTCGTGCCGCAGTGCCAGGAGTGGCCGACGGCAAAGCCACCAGCACCCTCACTGGGGGTTCGCCTTAGGTGGTTAGACAGAGTCGTTCGCTGTCGAGTCCTATGCTCGAGGCGAACGAGACCTTGCAAGTTAGGTCACCCGTGGTACATTCACTTGCCTGCCTCGAGGTGAGGTACACACTAGGTGAGGTATACGCTGGGTGGCTTTGTTGCTGGCCAAGGAAGACGGGGCGTTCGCCGCGCGGCAGTGCCACAGCTCGACCGGCTACTGCTGGTGCAGCAGCGCTTCGGGGCGTCAATTGGCAGGGACCCTTCGGGGACCGTCCGAAGGCGGCAGTTTCTCGGAAGAGGTCTGCGCGGCCACGAGAAAGCAGGAGGAGGAGAAGAAGGAGGCAGCGGAGTCGGTGGCGTCGTCGCTGTTGACAGAGCCGCCTTTGTCTTGCTCGCAGCTGGCTCAGAAAGCTCGGGAGGGCCACCTCATCGGAGCCTTCGTGCCGCAGTGCCAGGAGCGACCGACGGCAAAGCCACCAGCACAAATACACGGCCACTCCATGTGCAAAGCGTCAGCAGATACACACCGCTTCGCGGGAGACCGATGCCAGAACGAGGAGGAGGAGGAGGAGGAGGAGAAAGAGAATGAGGAGCATGAGGACAAGAACCAGGAGGAGGAGGAGGAGGAGGAGGAGGAGGAGGATGAGGTCTCTCATTGAGGCTGTCTTGGGGGCCTTCCTGGGCCGTCCTGCAGACCCCCCCCCCTTGGGCTACTCTGGACCGACTTGTGGGTCTCTCTGGGGGCTGTCGGGAGCCTTCTTGGGCTGTCTGTTGGGACCTCCTGGGGCCGTCGTGGGTTCTTCTGGGCCCCTTTTGGGCCGCCTTGCAGCAATCACGGAGGCATGTTGGGTTTTTTTTTTCTGGGCGTTCCGAAGACCGAAAAGGCGAGTGTCCTGAAATCACACACACACTTACGGTAGGTTCGCGTCGTGTCGACCGGCGGCGACCCCGCCGCCGACGTTCAAGGTTGAACGCCGCCGGCGACCCAGAATCGATCGATGTTGAACGATCGGACGTTGCGGCAGCGGCCGATCGTTCAAGGTTGAACGATCCCTGCGGTGTCAAAAACCAACGCTGGGGTCGGCACGTCACGAACCTGCCGTACACTTTTTGAGCGTCGCAGGTTGGGCCTGGCCGCAAGCCGTCCAGAACGTAAGAAGCAGCACGCGGGACTCGCACGATGCTGCAGCGGCCAAAGCCGCCCAGACTGGACGGCAGGGGGCCCGCAGGACCAGGGCAGGGGGGGGCCAAAGCGCAGCGGAGCGAGAAGCGGGGAGCGAGGAGCGACAGCAAGCGGCCGAGGGAGATGGACCGACGGACGCGAGGGACCGCGGGCCGACCGGCGGAGGAGGGGCAGTCGAGGGGAGGAGAGGAGGCACCCGTGTAGGGGAGCGAGCAACGACAGAGACGTGGGCATGAAAACTCGGAGGTCCGCGCGGATTTCTCGGCTCGGCGCTGGACCCCCCCCTCCGTGGCGCGCGGAGCGCGCCAAGGGCGGCGCCGGAGGCGCCGCCCGGGGGGCCCAGCGCCTCTCCGAGGAGAGTCCGCGCGGACCTCCGAGTGTTGTGTTCATGTCGTTGTTTGTTCCCCGACACCACAGCGGCAAGGATAGGCACGAAGAGGGGAAGGAGCCAGCCGAGGAGGGAGCCGAGGGAGGCGAGGAGAGGAGGCACAGCACAGAGGCGGCCTGAAGAGAGGAGGGGGCGGACCCAGCTCAGAGGGTCCAGGACAGTCCACGAGCCGCTCCCCCCTCTTCCCTCCTCCGTCCTTCCTCCTCCCTCCCTTCTCCTCCCTCCCCCTCCTCCCTCTCCCTCCTTCCTCCTCCTCCTCCCCCTCATCCTCCTCCCTCCTCCCTCATCCCTCATCACTCGTCCTCCTCCTCCTCGTCGTCGTCGTCCTCCTCCTCCTCCTCTTCCCCTCCCCCTCCTCCTCTTCATCCTCTTCCTCCACCTCCTCCTCCTCCTCCTCCTCCTCTTCCTCCTCCTCCACAGCGCCCTTGGATCTCACTGTCCTTCCTCATGGAGGGTTCCTGAATGACAGCTGAAGACGCAGCGTTCGAGTCCCCCTCCAGGGCTCGCACGTCTTGATCCCGTGCGGGGGTGCGGACGCGGGCGTCGGGGGGGTAGGAGAGCCACCAAGCGTGGTCGGGGGGGCGGGCAGGGAGACGAGGGAAGGTGACACACAACACGATATGTATTTACACACACATACAAGACTGCATTGGCGCTTCTCGCCATGCACCTTGGTCCTTGAAGTTTGAGATGCGCGCAGACGGGCAAGAAGGTAAAACATACCATGTAGCGATGACTCCTTGTTGCCTTTTCCGACATCGTCGTTATACTTGCGTGATTCCATATATGTCGCTAGTGGTTACTGTTCCTCTTCCTCCTTCTCGCCCTACCATGGAATTCGCCAATCCCCAGCTCTTTCTACGGAGGCTCCTCCTTGGAGAGCCTCTCGGGGGCCTCACGAAAGTTGTGAAGGGCTTCTTGGGGCTTTCTGCAGGCCTCCTGGTCGTCTTCTGGTGGGGGCTTCCTCGGGCCACCCAGCTTCCAATCGCGGCCTCCAACCGCGGTCTTCTTTGGGTCGTCTTCGGGCGTCTGGTGGGTGTCTGGGGTCTCTTGGGGCCCTCGCGGGGCTGTTCGGCCGCCCTCCTGACCTATTTGGGCACGTTGCCTAGGCCCAGCAGGGGCTTCCAGGAGCCTGGAGCCCCTGGGGGACCTCTCGCTGGGGCGCTCAGAGGGCCCCTGGGGCCACTGATCCTGGGGGTCCCGTTTTGGGGAGGGGGGGGTCCGCACCCCCCCAGAACACAAAACGAAGGGAATCTGTATACACATGTGTCCCACCCGCGACCCACACCGCGACCTACCCCGCGACCCACCCTTGTTGCTTTAACCAAAGTCGGCGCCTGCGGCGGGCTCGTTGCAGAAGTTGTACAAATTGGGCGCCTGCGGCGGGCTTCTTCAGAGCCTCGCAGACTGCAGACGCCCCCCCCCCGCCCCATCCCTCTGATTCGCGACTGCGGGGTGCTATGTTTAAGTCGAACATGAGCCTCTACAGGAGGAATCATCGAACTTATTTACAATTTGAAATATAGTCCTGGGACGATTTGTCCACAAAGTTTCACAAGTTGGGTGCATTTTCACCATTATTCATATTCCGTCCAAAATCCGCCTGAAGGGGACATGCCCGACCTAATGCTACGCATATACACACAAGATTTCGGATGCAACTCCTGGGAGGTAAATGCCTTATCTTGCCCTGGTCCGAAATCCGGCTTCATCCAGCTTAATAATCCCGTTTGAGCCGGCTTCATCCCGCGCAATCCCGCTTAGTCTGGCTCAATCCTGCTTGGTCCGAGGCCCACTCCGGCGCAACAGCTCCCAAGGGGGGCTTAATCCTCCTCAACATTTCCGACGAAAACCTACCAGTAGTTGCCTCCTGACAGGATGTTGAAGGCTCGCTCCGCTTCGCCCTGCGCGTGGGCGCACGCGCTGGCACCACGCCGGGGAAGAGCAGCACGGCCGCGCGATGCGATGGGGGGCGGCGGCTCGGGCCCACGCGGGAAGGGACGGCTAAGGACGCAGGGACATACATGCCATTAGTCTTAATATTGTTGTTAGTATCAGTAGTACCAATCGTATTAGCATTCACCTTTGTATCCGTTGGAATAGTTGTCTATATATATATATATATAGTTATCGGAGGTGAGGGGGTGAGATCGAAGTGGAACGGAGAGCCCCCCTACCAGGAAATCGATTTCGGTTTCGTGTTCGTGCGTGCCGTGCGTGCGGGCGAGGCGAAGCTGCGTGGGCGAGCGAGAAAAAGTCTCCTGTGGCTGACGCGCGGCCGGACCAAAAGAACCTTGACCGGGCGGCCGGGGGCCCGCGGTGTCCCGCGGGGTCCCATGGTGTCCGGGTGTGGCTGTGATTTTTGTTTTTGAGGTTAATGTTTTTTTGATTTTTTGATTTGTTGGTTTTTTTTGTTTGTGTGTTTTATTTTTTTTTTTTTTTGTTGGTTTTTGTGTTTTTTTTTTGTGATTGAGTTTTTGTTGTTTGTTTTCTTTTTTTTTTTTTTTTGATTTTTTTTTTTTTTTTTGGTTTTTTTTAGTTTGAGTTTTTTATTTTTTTTGAGTTTGTTCTTTTGTTGTTTGTTTGTTTTTTTTTTGTTGTTTTTTGGTTTTGATGTGATTATTTGTTTATTTGGTTGATTTTTTTATTTTGCTTTTTTTTTTGTTTTTTTTTTTTTGTTTTTTTTTTTTTTTGTGGGTTGTTTTGAGCGCGGCGGACAAATGTTCTCCTTCGGGCGGCCGTGGCCCGCGGTTGTGTCCAGATTTTGAAGGTGCCGGTGTCCCGCCGGTGTCCCGTCGGTGACCCGATGATGATGATGAGGATGATGAGGATGATGATGATGATGATGTTGATGTTGATGTTGATGTTGATGTTGATGTTGTTGATGATGATGGTGAAGATGATGTTGGTGTTTTATTTTGATGATCGATACTGAGATCGATAGTGAGGTCGAATGTGAGATCGATAGTGAGATCGATAGTGATATCGATTGTGAGATCGAGCGTGAGACCGAATGTCAGATCGATTGTGAGATCGATTGTGAGATCGATAGTGGTATTGGTAGTGGGATCGATTGTGAGACCGAGTGGGAGATCGATTGTGAGATCGATTGTGATATCGATAGTGAGATAGGTAGTGAGACCGAATGTACGATCCATAATGAGATCCAAAGTGAGTACGATAGTTAGATCGATAGTCAGATCGAATGTGAGATCGATTGTGAGATCGATTGTGAGATCGATTGTGAGATCAATAGCGAGACCGAATGTGAGATCGATTGTGAGATCGATTGTGAGATCGATAGTCAGATCGATTGTGAGATCGATCGATTGAGATCGATTGTGAGATCGGTAGTGAGTTCGATAGTAAGATCGATCGAGTGCGACGTTGGTCCCTTCCCCCCCCCCTCACCTCCTTATCACCCGAAGGGTGGTCGTATAGGTATGTATGTATATATATATATATATATATATATATCCACTTACGTATATACATATATATATATATTGATTGATAGCTTGAAAGCTTGTCGGGGCGTCCCGAGGCCTGCGGGGGCCTCTCGACGGCCTCGCGGGGGCGGCCTGGGGACCTGTGGCCTCCCGGCGCACTCTTGAGGAGAGCCTCTTGGGCTCCTCGTGGGCGCCTTGTGGGCCATGCTGGCGCTCTCTAGCGGTAAGTCGGGGGGCATCGTCCCTTATTTTTTTTTTCTGTTTTTTTTTGCCTTGTTTTTTTTTTGTTTTTTTTTTTTTTGTTTTTTTTTTTTTTGTTTTTTTTTTTTTCTTTATCTTTATTTTTGTTTATTTTTTTTTTTTTTGTTTTTTTCTATTGTTTTTTATGTTTTTTTTTTGTTGTACAGGAGGAGTATACAAAAACCTTGATGGACCCACGAACCCGGA